CCCACCCTCCACCGTTGGTACTAGCACCATCACAGGCACTGCCGGCAGCGGAGACGACGACAGCAACACTGCTGTCGTCTCCACCTTCACCACTGTTATCACCAGCGGTGACGACACTATCACTTCGACCGGCGTGACCACTATCGGAATCAACGGCGTCTCTGGTGCCTCGCAGCTCCCTGTGACCACCGTCGCCGTGCCCGTCGTTACTACCATCACCAGCGGCGACGACACCATCACCTCTACGATTGGCACTACCTCTGTTGTCTCCACCCTCACCGGCTCTGCTCTGACTTCGGCTCTTGAGAGCCAGGCCTCTGATGCCGCCAGCACTGGTGGCGATGACAGCAACACTGCTTCGGGCTCTGCTACTACCACCGACAGTGGTTCTACCTCCGAGACTCAGACTGGTGATGCTGCCGCTTCCTCCACCACTGGCGGCGGTAACGACTCGGTAAGCCCTCTATTCGTGACTAGGGTGTCGTCAACAGCAAGACTAACAGGTACACAGGCCGGCATGTCCCTCACCGCTCCTGCCTTTGGCCTCTTGGCCGCTATGGGTGTTGCTGCCATCCTCTTCTAAGAGCACCAACCTGGAGTGAGATTCGGTGATTCCATCAGCACATTCGATATTTAAAATACCCCCCTGCGCCAAAATCCAGGTTTTCAACTTCACACTTTCGATTGTTTCCAGGGCATAGTCTTGTCTGAACTACAGCCACAACATATGGATGTCGGCCAGAATCGAAGGCACCATGCATCGCAATTGAGGTGAATGGGAACAGAACTACCGAGGCACCGCAGGCTTTCTTTCTTTCCTTTTCAGGCCCCAAGGAGATGAAATGGTTCATCTTGTTCTTTTTAATGGATTGCTTGGTGTTGGACTTGAGCGTAATGGAACGGCGTGTTGATGATGGTTATTGGCAGACCTTTGAGGGGTATGTGCTGAGGTTCGAGACCAGTGAAAAGGGGTGGGACCGAAGGTTGGTTGACCTCTTGCCTTTGTTGTCGAAATTCGGACGAAACCATGATAAATGAATGTATGTACAAATGTAGAAACATTGCAACGCCGCAGACATTGTTCTACCACTCAACGTGATGAGCTATCAAATAGTGGTACTGTGAACGGGCTACCTACTAACCGACAGATGATTGTTGTGTCTGCGTATACGCACCTTGGTGACCATGTGTTTACGAATTATCACGCGCGGTCTGTGTTATGCACGTGCAGCTCATGTATGGGACACGGGAATTTAGGCGAGGAGGGAACGAGAACTGGGCTACAGGCATCCAACTTGACAAGTGTCATTGCTTCCTATATCCGACCCAAACTAGCCAGCTTTCTCGCGATACTCGCGTTGATAGTTGCATCATCCTCGCCGTCACTATCATCAGAGCCTGAGCTGCTTGTGGCGTCGTCGTCGTCGTCGTCATCGTCCCCGAGGCTCTCCTCGGCTACTATCTCCATCAAATTGCCGTTGCCGCCCTGGACTGAGCCAGCATCGTCGTTGTCGTCGTCATCGCTGGCCACCTCGCCGTCCTCGAGCCGACGGCGGGGTTTTTTCTTGCCCTTCTGGTCCTGTGGACGTCTTGACTGGCTGGCTGCGTCGCGCTTGCGCTTCTGCGCGGTGGCGTTGGCGGGGTCGCATTTCGGCGTCAGGGCAAAGGCGGAGGGCAGCGCGGCGTTGGCAGGGAGGGCGTAGATGGTGGGGAACTCGAGGACGGTGGTATCGCGCAGGGCTTCACCGAGGGACGTTGCCGGGTCGAGGGCGTGGACGGGGATCTTGGCTTCGGAGCTCGGTGCGGCGGCAAAGGGGCTGCGGACGGGGGAGATGAAGAAGCGGTACTTGTCCTTGGGCATGTCCTCGTGTTCCGGGGCGGCCGCCGACTTGAAGTGTGTCGCGCCGGCGTAGGGTTTCCAGGCCGGGTGCGGGTGAGGTTGGAGGACGTAGTGGCCCGGAAGCCAGGTGCCTGTCGACGGGTCCTGGGACTGTGTCGCGGCTTGCGGGGGGGGCTGTTTAGGTCGGGACTTGGG